AAACTCCTGGTATCCCCCTTTATAAGCCCTATAGTAGTCCCCTAGATAATCCCCTATATAACCCCCTTTAGGGAGTTTAGACTATGGCTCATATTACCATGCAATCATGGGTCTACATTAGCCAGCATCCCACTGACCTCACAGCTTAGTGCAGAATTTAGGAGTCCACAGGATGTAGACAACGAGCACCAAAGGGTCAAAGGCAGGAATGTCTGGGACACAACCCTAAACGCTAAACACCTAAAACGAAAGCTCTTATACAGGCAAAGCTACTCAAAGTTTCAGTTGGAGGTCCATGGGCAGTTGTAATAATTGGCATCGTACATGACAGCCCTCCCATCTACAACCCAACGCTACAGCTACACCTGGAGCGTGAACTATGTTCCTTGAAGTGCAAATTTACATGCAAGATTGGCTTTTGAAAATTATGTGTCCTGTTCTGGGCCATTGTACTTTATATCCTACTGCGTACTTTACGTGCGCAAGGGACGCCGTATTTAGAATACAATTCTGAAATTCTTGCCTCAAGCAGCCACCTAGGCCAGTCTACTTGCATCATACTTCTATGCGGGCAATTCTGCAAAGGGGATCTGTTGTGAAATAGGCATAGCGCATTCAAGGGGTGAAGATTCCGAGCATGAGGTGACCTGCCACACTCAAGATGAAAGCCAAAGTACCACTCTTGGCAAAAGCCAAAGGAGTTAATGGTGAGCTTGCTTCGGGAACCCTGAAGGTACTGCGAACACAAAAGTTGATCCGCAATATACTCAAGTAGTTTCCATTTTCTTTTCCATTATCCCCATATTACCCCCTATATACCCCATATAATCCCTATAATCCCTGTAGTTTCCATTTTCTTTTCCAGTATCCCAATATTACGTATCCTTGAAAGCTACCTGCACAGCAACTGCGCTGGGAGCATCCTTGAGCGAAGGCTCTGGCCTTGGCAGGTCTCTTGTCTTCTACACCCAGTGCTCCGTAGTCCTTTCAGCTAAAATCCGAAACTCTACCATCAAAGCACGCATAAGCAGACTCAAGAGCCGTTTAAGACAAGATGCCAGGTTCTCATGTCGAACCTGCCGGCAAGGCGACCAGCCAAGTCAGGGTAAACCCTCCCTAAACCCTAAACCCTCAAACCCTAAACCCTACTCAAGCTGTTTGAAGCATCCGGGCTGCTGCTGTGGAACTTAAACTCAGTTGCTATAATAAGGAAGCCCCATTACTTGCTATAGACCCATGATGTGGTAACTTAAAAAAGTTCCTCAACAGCAACCCAGTGATTTGTAAGAGATTGGTGTGACGGCAGCCCGTTCTGAAGCCAACGATGGATCTTTTCCAGGGATCCTGATCTACAAACCCTTGAACCCGCACTACCCATAGGTATGACGCCAAAGGGCCCCTGATTACGTTGCTATGATAAGGAAGCCCCACTACTTGCTATATAGTCCCCCTTAAGTATACTATAAGAAGATCCCCATATACCCCATGCTCTACCTACTTAACGGGGAACGGCATACTTGAGAATCAGTTCGGTTGTCTTCGTGACTTCTGACATCTTCGCCTGTGACAACACGCTCATCTCCCTCACGAAGGCCAGCTGCTGCTCTGACCGCATCCGCGCATCTTCCTCAAATTGTCAAACAATATGTAAATTGTCAAATATACCACGGTACCACATTTGCTGCAATATTCAAACCATATGTAGATTCTATATTCTACAGTCATACAATATGCACGATAACATTCAGAGAACATCCTACGATATAATTATGTAATAATGTCTCAATATCCTACAAGAATATATTACTTGAGTTACACAGAAACTGGGGATCCGAAGCTTATTCCCTGCAGCATGTGAGTGCTTGAAGTTGCCCGACATGTTGGAACGCCTCCTTCCCAAAGTAACCCGCAGCTCACAAGCTTCTTAACCCCAGCACTCATAGGGCTCCTAATCCCTATATAGTAGTTTCCATTTTCTTTTCTATTATCCCAATATCGTAGGCTCCGTATCAACTAACCCCGCAAACACAACCCAAATCTGCAGCTACCAGGTTTCGCTGATCTGCTTGATCGCGACGACCTTAGCGATAATGGCTGGGCTCTCGATAAGACTTGTCATCCCTGAATTTACAGAACAGCTTCAGCTAGAAACAGGCCCCAACGAACACAGCCTGCTGCAGCAACTCTGCATGTAGCTATG